CGCCAAAAAAAAAAAAAAAAAAAGAAAAGAAAGCAAGAAGTGCAAAGTTGGACTTTGTGTAGAAGCTTCAGCAACATCTTTATACGTACAGCCCCCAAGAAAACCCCAACTGTATATTGAGCAACAAAATTATTTTCGGAATTAATGCTTTTTCTAGTTACAAGATAACTTAAAATCTAGTGATTGCTCATCTTTTGTTCAATTTTTACTCTGTAATTTTCTTTCCACAGTTAGCAACATGGATCCTGAGAAGAAATGGAAAGCTCATCTTTAGTTTCAGCTTAAAGAAAGATTTTGTTGTTTTGTTTTTAGAGAACGGTATGTTTTGTTAACTATTCATTATTTACAGAGAATATACCGTGTGGAACATTGAAAATCCTAAATATACTTTAAAATAACATCATACTTATTCTAAAGTATGTAAATTACATTTTACACCTATAATATTAGCTATTTGTCTCACCTAGGTCTTATAACATTTTACCAAAAATTCAAAATCCAACAGTTTATCCATTTTCAATGCATAAAATAAGTTTCTTTTAAAATAATTCATGTCATTTAAACTGGATATTATTCTTGGAGGTTATTTATCTATTACCAGTGGTCAGTAATACTGTTTTTTCTAGCTGCTTCAATTAACAGCACAGATTTCAGTGTAATCCTTCCTTTTCTGCAACCTTTGTCTATATCCGTAGATTACAGGCTTGTTTTCATGTTTCTATCAATTATATCATGTTTATATATCAGTTCTATACCTCTGTATCATGTATACTTTCTCATAGTGGCATCCCACAAATGATTCATGTAAATCAACTTCTGGTAATAGAAAAATATTAAATTCCCAATTAAAGTCATTGTATATAAATAATTATTTCTGTAATCCATTAGTACAACCAACTTACTTTCCAAATTTAGGTTTTCATATATAGTCATCAACATATATATGAATTATATGCCAACGTTTTTAAAATTAGAATATTATAAGACAGAATTTTTTATGAGAAGTGTTTTTAAATAGTGGTTAGGGGACTTCCCTGGTGGCGCAGTGGTTAAGAATCCACCTGCCAGTGCAGGGGACATGAGTTCAAGCTCTGGTCCAGGAAGGTCCTACGTGCTGCGGAGCAACTAAGCCCGTGCGCCATGACTACTGAGCCTGCACTCTTAGAGCCCATGAGCCACAACTGCTGAGCCCGCATGCCTAGAGCCCGTGCTCTGCAACAGGAGAAGCCACCACAATGAGAAAACCACGCACCACAACAAAGAGCAGCCCCCGCTCGCCACAACTAGAGAAAATCGGCACACAGCAACGAAGACCCAGTGCAGCCAAAACTAATTTTTTAAAAAATAGATAAGCAACAAGCATACCTATTTAAAATAAATAGTAGTTAGGTTCTAAGGTAGCCCACCAATGCTTATTTAACCCATAAGGTTGCCAAATGATAATACAAAAATGAGCTCAGAATCCTGAAAGTATACTTTCTTTTCTCTTTTCTAAAGACTTTTTAAAAATTCTTTAAAAACTTTCTTTAACATCCTTACCTCTTCCTGCTCCTTTTCCAAAGGCCCCTAGAATTTTCGTACCATTCTAAACTCTGGAGACCTGTTGTGTTCCTGAAACCATTCCATATTACAAAATGACTGTGAACTCAACAACTAAAAACAAACAACCCAATTCAAAAATGGGCAAAGGACTTGATAAGACATTTGTCCCAAGAAGATATGCAAATGGCCAATAAGCACATGAAAAGATGTTCAACATCTCTAATCATGAGGGAAATGCAAATTAAATCCACAACGAATTAGGGCACAGGGATGAGAAGGGCATTCTGAACTGGGAGAATCGCATACACAAAGCTGTGGAATCACTGTCTTTCTAAGGTACCATGGCACACTTTAAGCTGCAAGTGGATCTGTTGAAAGAGGGGTGATGAGGGAAGGTTATGAAACTTGGTTCTTGAATGAGTCTAGGCAACTGAGCTTCATCAAAAACAATGGCATCCACTAAGTATCTGCCTTGTGTGGGTACTGGGCCAGACGCTGGGGATACAAAGGGGAACAAAATAGCATCTCTGCTCTCAAAATAAGCTTATCTGGTTGTGGAGACACACAATTACGATATGCAGTAGCAGTATGTTTGGAGTAAAGGAAGAGTGTGTAACCTGGTTGGGTTACAGAAAGCTGCTTAGAGGAGGAGCCTACACCCAGTTGTGAAAGATGAGTCAGTGGCAGCCAGGTGACGAAGTTAGGGGTATCTGTTTGGGAGATGAGAAGATTGTTCTAGTTGGAAGAAATAGTGTATGCACATAAACAGGTGGCAAAGCATCACGTGGTTGGGGAACGAATTCATGTGACCAAACTACACTGTATAGTATTTGTGGGTTGAGGTCATAAGGATAAGAAGCATCTCATGGGAACACAAACTCACAGGAACCAGCGTGCTGTCGTCCAGCCACACAGGATGGATATACACGATTTAGCAACTGGAAAGCAGGTGGTGGTCCAGGACAGGACTAGTATTATTCTGTTGTCTCCTCAACAGTGAGTTTGTCCCCGACCATGATGGTAATTTTGCTCCCCTTTTTGTTTCTATCACTCCAGCCAATTACTTTACCCCCATTCAGTACACCCAGAGGTTGTAGATTACTCATAGCTTCCGCTTACTCATCTTCTATTTAGTCAAGAGTTTTTGCATTCTCCTTACCATTACATCTGCCCTCTCCCCATAATCCTTAAGCTTCTGTTTTGCAACCACTGAATAGCTCTCTAGGTGTCTCAGGTTCAGATCTCCTCATACAAGAGGACCTGACTGGTGTAATTAATCTTCTATATCCCTTTTGGAGAGCTCTCCCGCCATCCTGTCCTATATGTTACTGACCAGCCCTTATGGTAACTGCTCTAGACCAGTCATCTGGCACCAGAAGGGTACCCCACTCGACAGAGGCAGTACACAGGGTAAGTATTCTGAGATGGCCTTTTCAGCACGGTAGGGGAGGGAACAAAGAAGCCAAAGGAGTCTCAAAGGTAGTAGAAGACAGAGTAACAGGAGAAATATTTAAGAAGAGGAATAGAATTTAGGGACCTGTTAGGTCTTGAGGGATGGGATCAGGTGGAAAGGAAGAAGCCCAGTAGCGTTATAGATTTCTGGCTTGGGCAGCTGGGTAGTTGCTGAATTGATAACCAGGATGAGGGAATACAGGAAGTGGGGTACATAGAGTGGGTAAGGGAGGGACGATGCATTGTAGTGTAGATATGAGTCTGAAGTACCAGGGAACATCCAAAGAGAGATACCTGGTAAGCACTTAGATATACAGAGCTGGGGCTAAATAGGCTATATTTTGTTGCAGGTTAGTGTAAGCAAAAGGAAAGTTGGTTGGCACAGCTAACCAACCTGAGAAGGTTGAAGGTGAAGCCAGGTTTGTGAATAAGAATGAAGATTTGGATCCCATCAGTACAACCCCAAACATCTTTTTTTTTTTGGGGGGGGGGGCGGTCAGAGCCTCCACAGCAGACTGGCTCCTTCACATGAAGGTTACGGGCAGCTGTGAGCTCATAACCAGCAGGGAAAGCTAGTTCTTCCAGCTTCAGTTTGGAAAATCCTAGAGGAAGGACTCGATGACTTGTACTGGCTCATTACCCATACCTTGGACCAGTGTCTGTGGTCAGGGAAACATGAGATTCTGTATTTGGCCCAGCTTTCGGCACATGCCTGCCCACAGTGGGTGAGAGCTCTTCTCAGATGGAGAAGAGGCTCAGAGAAGGGTTTGGGACCAGTACTGATTCCTTCATAAATAGCTTTCCCTTCTTTCCAGTGTGTGTAAAATAGATGATAAATAAATCAGAGCTCTCTGCGGTAGCTCACTGGATGCCCCGGCCAACTCTGTGAAACCTGAATCTTTTCTGTGTGTTTCTGGGAGACTTTCTGAGTATTTTTAAGTTATTTGTGAGTATTTTCATATGTCCAGGTTGTCACTTCAAGAAAAAGTAAAATTAATAACATATATGGGAAAAGAATCTGAAAAAGAATAGATATATGTATATGTATAACTGAATCACTTTGCTGTACACCTGAAACTAACACATTATAAATCAACTATACTCCAATGTAAAATCAAAAAATGTTTAAAAAAAGAAAAAGTAAAGTTGACTAGTAGCAGGGAGGCTGGAATCCTAGAGAAAATGAGAAAAGATTTAAGTGCGGGTGTTTCTTAACTCCGCCAATGCTGAACTTCTGCGCCCTCTCCCTTGCCAGTCTCCCTTGCTCACCAGTGCAGTGCACCAGCTTAAATCTTGCTACCAATTTCCAGGCATTGTTGGAGCAGGAAAACTCATCAGTCTTTCCCCGCTTTTCCATTCTGGGGGCGGGGGGGGGTGGGGCGGGCTTAAAAGGATACTTGGTTTTGTTGGGGAAAAAAGTTCCATGTTTGAAATATTGATTGTGAAAGTCTTAGTTCCAGCCGCACTGATGCTGGGCGTTTTGAAACATTTGGAATTAAAGTGGAGAATGGAGGAGGGGCCTATATAAGTGTATTTACTTGTGTATGCAGGCAATATCTCTGGAAAAACACCCCCAGAATTTTAAAAAACAATAACATTGGTTACCTCCCAAGAGGAGAACTTATGGGTTAGCTGAGGAACAGGGGATAGGACCGGAAACATCACACTCTACCCTTTTATATCTTTGGACTTTTGAATTATTTGAATGTATTGCTTATTCAAAATATAAATAATGAAACGTCTTAATCAAAAGAAAAGGCCTGAGTCTGTCTCATAGAATCTACTGGGCTAGTCTCCCAGAACAGAGGGGAGGTACATGCCCACTGGGAAAATGGTAAGTTGACCTGCACCTCAATCTACAGAGAAGCTTAAGAAGGCGGTCTGGGTTAGAGAGAGATTAGGAAGTCACGGCCCTGAGGTTGCCATGAAAGCAATGGGTAAATGTACACAACCTTGGGGTGGGTACAAAGGAAGAGAATTGGCAAGGACGATTAAGAAAGCTTGATCAAGGATAGGATAATCACTGGGAGAGAGGCGTGACAGCAACCAAGAGAGGCATCCAAAAAGGGACAGTCAACAGTGTTAAATGAAGACTCATCTTATGTGCTGTTTATGCTTATTTTATCCATTATTGAATTATATAACATTAAACTCTCAAAAAAGTGGCTGCTGCTTACCAATTTTATCCTGAAAGACTGCTCAAAAATGCTAAAATTCTGAATCCCCAGCAAATCCATATTAAAATCCATTAACATTATAGGCAGTTTTTAAAAGCATATTAAGCATTATTGTTTGAAAATTAACTTTTGGTACTGATTTATGGCAGATGGATCACATGTTTATTGCCATTCCTTTCCAAGAGCCCCCCAAAAATAATATATATTAAGTTTACAGAGGTACAGATAAAAAATAATATTAAAAGAAACCTGAGAAGACGGTCGAAGAAGAGATTGCAGAGATTTTAACCAAATTTTGAAAGACAGCGGATAGAGTCAGGGAGGTGATAAAACTATAGCCAAAAATTGGGGCTTCCCTGGTGGCGCAGTGGTTGAGA